GGACTGTCCAAGGCAACTACGAACTGATCCCTCCAGCAACAACTTGAGGAGATCGGGTGGTGCAGTGGTAGGCCTTGTGTGCCATGCTCTCCAAGTCCTGTGCCAGCTCCTGCAGGCTCTCCCCTTTAGCACGGACTCTCGTCCTGAACCTGGCCCTGTAGACTTCTGACTGGTTTGGGTTCCGTACCTGAGTTCCAGAGCCTCTACCAGAGCTCTATAGTTGTGTCTGTCGGCTGCTGTCAACTGCCAGTGGTTGTCTCTTCAAGCTCGTTGCCAGATATACAGTTTTCTGCTTCTCTGTCCATCCGTTCATCTCTGCCAGTAAGTCAAACTGTGCTCTATATGCTTCCCACGGAGCCGTTCCATCGAATTCCTGTGGCTTCCTTCGCACTGGATCACTCCTATTACTGACATTCATATCTGGGATGTGACTTCTAATGGGACTGAATATGTCTACATTAGGGTTTAGCTGCGGGCTCTGTCAGGGGCTTGCCATTGTCTGGGGCTGATTAAGTCGATGGTCAATATATCCTCCTTGTGTGAAAGACAACAGATCGTCCTTTAACGTATCTAATTCGCTTTTAAATTTACTAATGTTTTCCATTTGTACCTCTTGCCATTGTTGTTGATTTTCCTGTAGTTGCTCCTGACTTTCTTCCTGTTTCCTTTCTCGTTCCAGTTGCCACTGCTGTAATCTCTCTTCTTGTTTCTTTTCTCGTTCTTCTTTTTTATTTTCTTTTACCTCGAACAACTATTGTAATCTCTCTTGTTTATTTTGCTGTTCGTGCTGCCATTGTTGTAGGTTTTCTTGCCACTGCTGTAATCTTTCTTGTTTATTTTGTTGTTCGAGCTGCCACTGTTGCAGGTTTTCTTGCAACTGTTGTTGTCTTTCTTCTTGTTTCTTTTCTTTTTCCTCCAACAACTGCTGTAATCTCTCTTCTTGTTTAATTTCTCGTTCTTCTTGTTTCTTTTCTTTTTCCTCTAAGAACTGCTGTAATCTCTCTTCTTGTTTAATTTCTCGTTCTTCTTATTTCTTTTCTTTTTCCTCTAAGAACTGCTGTAAT